ATATAATCCCAAACTACTGGGCAGGCACTCAAGAGAAAAGGCAATCATTAGACAATGATCCTGAAAAGATCCGCGTGTTCGAATTAGCATGCCAGGGTTTTTAAAGAGCTAGTGTAACCATGCTCAAAGATGTAAAGGAAAATAAGCTTGTAATAAACCAACAGGTAGGGACTCTCAGCAGAGAAATGAAGCTATATGAGAAAAAAAAATAGGCAATTCTACAGTGGAAAAAGACGTCTGAATAAAAGATTTTTTAGATGGGCTTTAGACTAAATTGTAGGTGATGGAATAAAGAGTCAGTGAACCTGAAGATAAATGAATAAAAGTTATTCAATCTGCAGAACAGAGAGAAAAATAATTTTCAAATCAAAAGAGCCTCAGGAAATTGTGGGCCAACCTCAAAAGGTCTAATATTTGTGTAAAAGGAATGTAAGAAGAAGATAAAAGGAAAGGGATGAAAAATATATTGGAAAAAGTAATGCCCAAATATTTCCCAAATTTCATTTAAGACATAAATTTATAGATCTGAGCTCTGTGAACCCCAAAAGCAAGATAAATACAAAGAAAATCATAACTCAGCATGTGGAGCAGCATTGTTGGTGAGTTTAAACTAGCACAGCCACTTTGCACCAAGTCTGTCAATTTCTTTTAAAACTAGGGCGCCTGGGTGGCTCAGTGGGTTAAGCCGCTGCCTTCCGCTCGGGTCATGATCTCGGGGTCCTGGAATCGAGTCCCGCATCGGGCTTTCTGCTCAGCGGGGAGCCTGCTTCCCCCTCTCTCTGCCTACTCGTGATCTCTCTCACTCTGTTAAATAAATAAATAAAATCTTTAAAAAAATAAATAAAAAATGAAACTAAACATACATTTACTTATGACTCAGCAATTTCATTCCTGGTTATTTACCCAGGATAGATGAACAGGTGTGTCCAGAAAGGACTTGCATTAAATCTTACCAAGGGAATGGATAAAATCACTGAATCATACAATGGATTCATACAAGTACTCCGTGACAAAAAGTAAGAAAATATTGATATATGTAATGACATGAATGGATTTCAAAAAACATTATGCTAAAAGAAGCAGGTGTCAGGCCCCTGGGTGGCTCAGTAAAGCATTTGCCTTCTCCTCAGGTCCTGATCCCAGGGTCCTGGAATCGAGTCCTACAGCAGGCTCCCTACTCAGCGGGGAGTCTGATTCTCTCTCTACCCCTCCCCCCTGCTTGTGATCTCTCCCTTACGCGGTCTCTCAAATAAATAAATTAAATCTCAAAAAGAAATAAAAGTGTAAAATGGTACTGTTTTATTCCATTTATGTGAAGTTCTTCAACGGGCTAAATCAATCTATAGTTTAAAAAAAAAAAAAAATCCACAATGGTGGCTGCTGCAGAGACTGGGACAGAGGAGAGCAGAACCTGAAAGGAAATGCAACAACATTCTGAGGTCACAGCGATGTTGTCTCGATGGGATTGGTACTACATGAGTGTACACAGGGTTACAACTCATCAAATGGTATACTTGGGATGTTGCATTTTACTTTTACCTTAAAAATATTAACTATAAATATCACACCATGATATGTACACTGAAGTGCTCAGAGGTGAGTATACTGCAACTTACTTTGAAATGGATGGCTAGACGGACCGATATGGCTCCATGGGTGTTTACTAAACAATGTTCTTGTAGGTTTCAATTTTTTCATAATAAAATGTTGAGGGAAGGGATGTTTACCTAACTCTTGAGATCTACTGGGGAACAGAAAGACCTTAGTTTGAAACTTAAGAACTAAGAGACCACGCTTGGAGCCCCAAGCAATGTGAGTGATGGCTGGTTTCCCTGTCATTCAACAAGGGGCTGCTCAAGGACTAACAGATTAGCCAGGTGTTCTCGGGATACAAAAATGCAGACGCAGACTGTATTCACGGAACGTGGCGCCGGGTGGGGAGACTCCAGCTAGGACCCCAGGAGACACATGCTGTGGGAAGTGGACACAGCGGGCACAGGCAACTCAGACGCAGCTGTTCCAGAAGCTCACTCCAGCTGCTTTCCTGAATGTGGTCACACTTACTGTGTGTGTTTGACATGAACCGAGGCCCTTGACCAGCAACTTAACTTCATGTTAGTTTGCTCATATATGAAATAGAGAGAATGCCCATTTTTAAAGGATTATCATAAGGACTAAATGAAAGCATCTCATTAAGCAATAAATGGTACAGAGTATTCATCACTGTTACTGAGACTAGATGTGGCCAAGAAGCCTCATCTGAGCATGTGGCTTCCTGCTCCCAGAATGGCTTTTTCTTCCTAATTATGCCAGGGCTTCCCGAGTCATTCCCAGAATCCAATCTGAACTCTTGGATATATAAAAACCCTGCCCAAACCCCAACTTCTCCCCTCCAAGAAAGGTTAAACAACAACACTGTTATCAATGAACAAAACCTTTTAGGGTTAAAAGTGTAATTTTATTTAGATGTTACTTGTACATAATCTATAGTAAGATATACAAACAGATAAAAATTGTTTAACAGGAGGTGTGTGTTTTTTTTTTTTTAATACCACTTTCAATTCAATTTACAACAGCATTGGTAATACTGCAAGGTGACAGATACTCTGATTTATAAAACAAAAATTACTTGCTACTCTGGCTGATACATTCCCACTAGTCTTTAATGGATTAAAATGTATCATGTACTCCAGTTGCAAATTATTACAAAACTTTCACAACCTAGCCACTTGGTGCTCAGAAAAGATTTTGATATTCTAAAAATTTACTGAAATGAAAATGTTAATTTTCTAACCATATACTTCCACTAAAGAAAAACATAAGTGTACCAAATCTCATGGTTTGGGGTTAACAATGGAAAACCAATCACATTATGTTTGTGTAGCTAATGTGTGGTACCGAGTAACCTTCTCATTCCCTCTGCCTAATCTATGATATGAGAAAAAAGCTTGTAAGAAATTAATCTAAAATACACATGGAGGGAAAAAACTGAGAGATTTAAAAATTAAAATTTAAAATATAACTACTACTTTAAGATGTAAAATCCGCAGATACGAAATAGGCTTTTAAATGTCCTTCTCCATTTGTTTCGGTAAATACTTTTTGAAAACGAAAACTGAAGATTCAAAATATTCACTTTTTCCTTTTCATGTAACAGCACATTAGAAAAAGTCTGGATTTAATTTTAGAATAAATCAGATTTGCTGAGAAAAATACTGCAAAAATAATCTAAATTGAATTTTAGTCCTTTTCCATTCCATTTTAAAGGCTATGCAACATATTAGGGCAAAAACTTTTCACTAGTAGGAAAATCAAGTCGAAAATAACTTGTTGATTAAACTACAGGAAGACAACTAATAATTAATAGGCTTATGAATATTTATGAATAAAGTGCCAGTAATTTTACTGTAATAAGATATAAATAGGAGAAATCCTGACATGGATAGTAGCTTTATATGTTCTCTTCATCCTGAGAACAGAAGGGACATAAAAAACAAAGAAGTGTTACCAAATAGATGTTCTAGAATTATACAAGGAATTCCTAACTGAAAAGTAACAATAAAAACAAAATACTGTAATAACGATAAAATCAGACTACAAATGGTAAAAGTCCCAAGAATAATGCCAACACAGTAGGCCTTTATGCTGGAGGAAAAAAAAAAAAAAAAGGTGGGGGGGGGGGGAAATCAAGGAAAGAAATGTGAAAGTCCACAATAACTACCACTTAAATTCAATAAAATTATGGTGACTAGCTCCAGGAAACGGAAACCCGAGAAGCATGTGTCCCAACAGCTAGTACAGCTGAAAAGACTCAGGTAAACCGATAGAAGAAGCATGGTCTCGGGAAGGAGATGCAGACATTAGGCTTTTCAGAGTTTCAAAATCTATGTGACTAAAACCCAACGATGGGCTTTATCTGATGACCGTCCATAAGCCAAATCGGTGTCCACTAGGGGACACATGGACGTGGTTTGGGGTCCCCGCAGAAGTCCTCAGGAGGACTCATTAACAAAAATCCACTGGCCATGGTCCTGTTTAGATGACTACCTTGAACCAGACAACTGTTTTGAGCTAAAGCCTCCATGATGACTGAGAGTCACAAATAACCCGTCCGTTTGAAATGCTGCACGTAGGTGACAATCCCTAGGAAGTGAAGTGTCTCCGTATATTTGTGAAGTCGTGTCTACAGTCGAAGCCTGGGGGCGTTTACTGATTCTGAACAAGCAGCTACCCTTCCTCCCAAAATGACAAGAGCCGGGCTGCCAGCCGTGAGCCTTCCGTGGCTCCGCCTTCGCCAGGAAGGTAAAGCCCGGAGGTCTCCGAACTGCCGTGTGGGGAGCGCAGCAGGAAGCGCTGCAGTGAAGGGAACGTGATCTGGAACAGCTACACGCCTCGTCTAATCTGAGGTAATTTTTACAGTTTAATGTGCCGACGACACCATGAGAAAAGAGAACCGTGTGCTTCTAGGAATAGGGCCGAGGCCCTGCTTGGGTGATGGATCCCTAATCTGGCCACAGCACCAGGAAAAGCGCAGAGCTGTCAGCATCTACTTCCACCTACAATCTAAGCTTTGTGAAATTCAGACCAAGTGGGGCGAGGGGCCGTGGGGCGCCCTCTCCGGAGCGCGCTGAGGAGTGGGGAACTTAGGACGCGGCTCTAGGAAAGGCCGGGGTGGGGGGCTCCTCCGCACCCTGTGCCCCCCCGCCCCCGTCGTGTTGTGCCGGCCGGCTGGCCCCCCCCAGGGCTCTAGGGACTCAGGGGTTCCCAGGGTCAGCCCCGAGGGCCCCGGAAGGAAGAGCACCCTGTTCTCCATACTCGTGACTGCGCAGCAGCTGGAGCCCCTTCCGGAATCACCGCCAAGCATTGACCAAGGGAGCGCCCGCAGGGAACCCTGCCTGGGAAGGGCCTTCCAAGTTCATGTTTCACCAGAGCGTGCAACGGGAACAAAAGCATCTCAGGGAACGTTCCGATTCACACGCGGGCGGCTGAGCTTAGGGAAGCAGCAACGTTGGATGCCCCTGACTTGTTAAATCTTTCCCCTAGAGCCAATTTCTTGGGAAACACGTTAGAAACAAACGAACAGAAAGGGTGAAACGGTATCACTGACTGGAAGACGTCACTCTGACACATGGTCGTTAATCTTGCAAAGACCTAACACCAGGCAGCTTCACAAACACACAGCAAGTCTGCGGAATTACAGTGATCAGGAAGAGGAGACCCAAACTGCACGAAGTACTCTCGTGGCCAAGAAAAAGGAAGCAAGAGGCTGTTTTCAGGACAATGCGATAGTTACAGCGTATTTCCTTGGGTGCAGCACAATTTGCTATGTTTAGTGGCACTTAAGTATTACACAGTAAATACTGAAAAAACCCAGAATTTTTGGATGTGCAAAAGCAATATCACATTATTAATACAAAAGTTGCTACGCTACAGGATTATAATACCACTATGTGGGTGTTGGGACCACTTAAAATTTTCAATACATTTCCGACACGTGGCCCCTGGTGGCCCCGCTGTGCATGCGCGCCGCCTCAGTCGGACCAGTCGTTCTCGTCGAACTCAGAGTCGTCGTCGGAATCGCTGTACTCCACGGCGATGCGTCTGGACAGAATAGTGGCCACGTCGTTCCCGACTGGCTCCCGCTTGGCCTCTTGCTCGCGCTGTTCTTGCACCTTTTTCAACTGAATCCCTGGGGACGCAACCCGGAGAGGAGAATTAAATCGCTCTGCTTGCTCCAAATTAAGGAAAACAAACTAGGAAGTCTATTTAGCCTTACCACCCCCTCCCCGCCCCCAAAGGTAAAAAGTTTGGAAACCTGAAGTGAGAAAAGCTTGGGAAATCGAAGTGTCACGACCAAAAAAAAGGCACTCAAAGTCGTTGACACTGTTTGTAGAAATGTGCTGAATTCCAGTGCACTTGAACATCATGAAAGAAAATTCTGGCCTGCACCTTCCACTAGGGAAGCCACTACACGTGGCTGATTAAGGATAAATTTATTGTGCCTAGTGGCTACCATATTGGAACGTACAAACATGGAGCACTTCTTCTATCACGAACAATTTCCTGGACATTGCTGTAATCCAAAGGCTTGAAAAGGAGCATTTTGTGCTAATAGCTTTTGATTAGTGCCGGGAGGTAAGGGAGATCTGTGTTTCACCAATTACTTCTAAAAATGAATATAAGATACAATCATCTACTTTCTTATAAAGTAACAGTAGGTGACAAAGATAATTTAAAGTTAATTCTTTAATTTTTCTTTTGAAACAATTTCAGATTTTATAGAATCCCTCCCTGTAAGATGTAGAAAAAAGGGGCACCTGGGTGGTGCCGTTGGTTAAGCAACTGATTCAATTTTGGCTCAAGTCATGATCTCACAGTTGTGGGATAGAGCCCAGAGATGGGTTTCATGCTGGGCGTGGAGCCTGCTAAGTTTCTCTCTCTCTCTCTCTCCTCTCTCTCTCTCTGCTCTTCTCCCCACCAAAAGAAAGACAAGTAAAAAAAAAAAATTCCCATAAAAACTATACCCAGGTTCCCCAACTGATAACATATGACCACTTTTTTTTTTAGCAACCTTTATCATTCTTGCTCATACATACAACTTTTTTCTGGACCACCTGGGAATAAGTAGCATGTAACGTTCCTTTGTCCTTAAAATACTTAATGTGTAATTCCTAAAAAACAATGATCAAAATCAGACTATGAGCATAAATACAATACTACCATCTCTTTTATAAATATTATGTAAATTTTGCCAGTAGACTTAAAAGCAGCAGAAAGTTTTCCACCAGGCCTGGGATCCAACGTGGGAATACTGATGACACTGTCTGTCGTCTTTCACTAATGTTCCTTAATACGGGCAGTTCTTCAGTCTTTGCGGCTCTGATCTTGACATTTTTTAAGAACACAGGCGGCTCCTTTGTATACTGTCCCTTGATGTGGGCTTCTTAGAGGCTTCCTCATGATTAGATCCTGGTTATGTGATCACTCTTATTGGATGGGGCTAACAGGTATCCAAAAACAAAAACACTGTCCTACTATGACCCTAAATTTGTTATCAGTGAGGTCGTAGAGCTCTGGGACTTTTCTTGACAAAATCAAAGTGTGTCAATGACGTTGGAGACATATGAGAAGGCTGGGCTCATGTGCCACACTTGGGTCTGATTTGGGGGCACTCAAGGCAAAAGCAGAGACAGTAATGTCCCAGCTGTCCTGTGAAGGACGACAGTGCCGCCTTTCTCAATCCCTTCCAGACGGAAACAACAAGCCTGTGACCAAGAGATGGTGCAGCTCCCCACTGAATGAGGAGCTCCTAGGACATCTGCGCATCCTGTCAGTGACCCTCACCCGGCCTGGGCTATGCCCCAGGGCTGAGAATAAACGGGTGGAACAGATGGTTAACGTGTGGTGCTGAGGGGATGCCAGAACGGGTGAGTGTCTGGGCTCCTCTATCCTGATTTGATCAGAAAGGCTCTATTTCTGTATGTCTCATGCTCTGGGGTTCAGTGTAGGGCTTTTAGCCGACAAAAGAATCTTGTTGCTAAATACATGCTGAAAAACTTACTGGCTTCGCGCATCAAGCTAAAAATATGGGAAGTCTAGGACACAGCTTAGGTTTATAAAAATAACTCAATCATTGCTACGAGCTCACTTTCTTTCACTTAGACGTTTACCCCCACAGTAGAATGCAGAGAAAAGACCCAGTTAACCGATGATCATCTTTATTATCTATTTCTAGTCAAGTACAGCTTTCCCGAATTCTCTCAATACTTTATTATTGTGTATTTATCTTGCACTGGCAAGAATAGGTCTCCTGTTAAGAAAACAAACTCAAACAAGCATCCTTTAACCCTATTCTAAAAAACAGTTCAGTGGAGAGAGCAGTCATTTGAAGAAGACTAGGCTGAGGCTGGTTAGAGCCATAAAGAAGTCTCTTTCTAAAAGGAACACTGTGTTTGAGGCGCTCACTTACCCATTCGAATGGCAGCGAGAAGATCGCTTCGAGCGTCACTTATGGGTGGCTGTGCTGTCTCTGGGCGCTTCGCCTCAGCTGCAGGGGGGCCGTGCATCGGGGAGGATGAGCGAGAAGAGCCTGCGCCAGGAGGGCCTGGTGGAGGAGGTGGTGGGCCTGGAGGCGGTGGGGCTGTGACGACGAGCCCAGCGGTGGGAGGGTGAGGAGGAGTGGCGTAGGAGGTGCCGGCAGAGGCAGGGAAGGGGGACTGCATGGGGATCTGGAGGGGGCTGACGAAAGCAGTTTGTGCTGAAGGAATCATGGGGGGTGGTGGTGGAGGAGGAGGTCCTGAGGGGTTGTAATACTCAATTATCTGTGCTGGCATCATCCTGACAAAGAGATGAAACACACAGAGTCATTACAACAGTGACAAAGTCATAGCCTCGGAAAGTCGAACATGTCCAATTCAGAGGCCTCCCCCAAACCCAATATATACCGTCCTCTGCACTTTAAACACTGCAGGATGCAAACATCCGCACTTTGGGCCAGTCATTTTTACATGTCTACATTATTCACTATGATGAAATTCATCTACACAAATGAACCAGAAAGAAAACCACTCAAAAGGCAACTTTGGGGGCACCTGGGTAGCTCAGCTGGTTAAGAATCCCACTCTTGATTTTGGCTCGGGTCCTGGTCTCAGAGTCCTAAGAATGAGCCCCTATGTGGGGCTCCATGCTCATCGTGGAACCTGCTTAAGATTCTCTCTCTCCTCCCTGTGCCCATCCCCCATCCTCCACTTGCATTGTCTTTTTTTCTCTCTCTCAAATGCATAAATAAATCTTTTTTAAAAATTAACTTTCTGTGGAAGGCTAAAATAAAACAGTTGACTGCAAAGGTTATGAACAGCAATTCAAATTTATCCTTATAGTGGGCATCAAAGGTGGGTGGCTCGCAAACTTGTCTTACAAGGGTCCTGTGGTCAGTCAGATTCGGAAAATTCTGTATTTTATACCTCATCCCCATGGAAATTCCTCAAGCCCACAGGGCCCATTAGAATATCAAAAATCTTTGAAAAGTCCTATGCCTAAGAAGTCCACTGAATCCTACTGGACCACAGACCCTCTCTTTGCCGGACCCTTAATTAGGGCTTCACTCTCTGGGCACTCCCACACTCTGGGGACCCTTCAGGTGAAACAACGGAAGAGAACCTCTGAAAGCAGAGGGACATACATTTAGAAGGTGACACACACTGCTCTGGACTGAAGAACACACACGTTAATGGAAAGACACATTCAACTTTCCTAGGCACTATCTTGGAGGGATGAACTCTTTAAAGATTACAGTTAATTCAGAAAATAGAGGACAAAAGGCAGCCTATCAAAATAAAGGTGAGTGCTTACGTTAATAAAGACGTGACCACAGGGCTCTTTCTTTAGGAGCTGTTTGGATTTTACTCAAGTGACAGAAAACAAAAGGGCCTGATGGTAGGAGGTCTGCACACCAAGAGATCAAGAGAGGGTATAGTCACCTATGGCCAAGTGCAAGCAGGGGCTCCTGGAGGGCAGCCCTGGAGAGTTTTCTCACTTGTGACAGGAACTGTCTGTGGTTCACCCAGAACATATACGAGACCTGAGGGCTTGTGACAGGTTCACAAAAGCAACACTTCATCCTTTCTCAATGCCTTGGCTTAGAAATGCCTTCACACACACCTCAAAGTAGGTGTGAGGGAGTGTGTATACATGAATACAGACACAAACCTGAGACCCGTCTGTAAGAAAAAGGGAACCAGAGTGACACTGAATATTTTAACACAGAATTGGTCATGGCTGGTACTATCTACATCCAGAGATCCTTGGCCACATCTGGCCCCTAAGGGATGATTATTCAGCAGAAAGTTTTAGACCACACATAGCAAACTCCCAACGCAACAGCAAACAGAGGTAGAAGACAGGAGTCTCGAGTTACCCGTAGTCCGCTGGTGCCATGGGTGCGGAGGCCTGGGACCCCTCTGCGGCCTGTGGTGGGGGTGGCGGCGGTGGCTGCTGGGGCCTGTTTAGGGCCATGTGCCGCGCCGAGGCAGAGGGGGGTCGGTACTCATGCTCGGGGGCCTGGCTTGCTGGCCCGTGTGGTGGCGCGTCCCCGGCTGCGTAAGAAGGGGTCACGGGCTGTGGGTGCAGAGAGTGGTTGGGAGTCGCTGGGTAAGAGTAATCCGTGACATCTGATGCATGTGACCTGATGTTCAGGAAAGGGGTGGGGGGGGGAGAGAAAGTCCAATTCAGTTAAAAAGATTCCCCGCAACAGCCATAAGCATATTATTTGAATAATAACTTTGCCAATATACAGAAATCACACACTGATTTCCTTCACTCTGGACTCGGTCCAGCCCTGTGAGAGCTTCCGAGCAACGACAAAACAACTACTTTAGCAGCAAGCCCCAGTGTTATGTGGCTTCAGGGTCCCCGCGCTGAAGTGGGTAAGTCAGACAGATCGGCAAGCAGGAGACAACAGAGCCCCATTTTCGCAATATTTCAGCGTGCTTTTTCTCTAAGAGAGAAGGCTACAAGGCAAATTCCATTTAATTAAAACACAGGGCCTAAGACAGAGGATTTCAGTGGCAATGGAACTGACAGCATATAATTAGATATTATAAAATGGCAGGTGAGCTGGATAAATATGAACAGTAAGAAGAGCGGAAGAAATCAAGAATGCAATTCAGTGGGTTGTAGTTTTCTTAAACAGAAGGACGGTATTTAGCCAAAAGAGAGGGCGCACGGTGCAGTGTGGAAAGGGCTTCTTTTCTTTGCACGGCACAGTGTGAAACTCTGGAAGGAATGGAGATGTGGTATTAGATGAGCAGAGCCTGGGAAGATGCGGGGGCCACGATGCCAGTGGGGCGAGGGGGCCTGGAGGGAGCGTGGCCTGTGAGGGTGGCGGCCACCTAGGTATTAGTAAGGACAGTGGCGTGTCCCTGGCCCGGGCTACAGGCCAGCTCCAGGGATGCGCGAACTGTCAGGGCAGCCAAAGCAGGGTGGGCAAGCTGAGGCTGGGGTCCCGGAAAGCAAGGTGACGAACCCTCTGGGCACTGCATCCTCGGTGGCGCCCCCTGCCTGCGCCAGCTCCTTGGCGTCACTCATGAACTCAATGCCCATTTTCCTTCTCTCCCACTCCTCTCTTCTTGTCCTTACTCTTCTCACATGTATTTGCTGGCTTCTGTGAGGGGTCAGCTTGTGTCTCTCTCTCTGGAGGAAACAGGCAAACACACATTGGGGAAGGAGGAGACGGGGTGGGGAAGACACCAACCAAGTTTCCATCTTTGAAACTCAGGCAGTAGCTTCCCTAACCGGAGCATCACACAGCAGAGCCAACTGTCCTAAATGACAAGAGCCTGCTTTGTTTTGTTTTGTTTGTGGTTTTTTTTGTTTTTGTTTTTGTTTTTGTTTTTTTTTTTGCTTTTTTTCTTCCTGGATTGCAGTACAACAATAACTGGTAACTCACTTTTTCCCTCCCTTAATTGCAGTGTAAGTTCTAGATTATGGTGTAGCTAGGGGTATGTCTCCTGAACTATGCAAACTATGCAAGGGAGATGGAAATATTTAAAATTAAAAAATTTTAATGGGAGAAGAACCTGACCTAGCTTTAGGTTTAACGCATTTTAAAAACACAAATACCTAAAACTCTCCAGTCACTGGTGAGGTGTGCCTATGACTCCGTGTGCCTATGTCACAGATTGTGTACGACTTTCTCAAGGAGACAAAGTTATCTAGCAAAATACAGAGTGCTTCTGATGAGAGGAGGAGCCAGAGATTGTAAACACTGTGGCGGGACTCAGAGTCCTTACCCCAGTAAAGTGGCTCTGTGAGAGAGCCCCAGTGGAGCCTGAGAAAGGGGAGGACCAGTGGAGCAGGGAGTAAGGAACAGGCAGTGAGCATCCGAGGACCTGAACTCCAGCAGGAGGGCTCTAGAGGGAAGGGCTCTGGAGAAGGGTGGGCTCAAGAGGGCTGCTCGGTGAGGGGGGCGCCAGCGGCTGGAGGAGAGGTGGGGAGTCGGGGGCCTGCTGGGGGAAAGACAGCCCCATGGGAAGGTAGCAGTCACCCACAGAAGACGCTGTACCAACGTGGAGATGAGTGGGATGAGGCTGAAGTGTCATGATCGGCACCGATTATCTGCTGCAGAAAAGAGCATTGGTAAGAGTGAAGATCACATGGAAAACGGAGGAAGGGAAGTGTAGGCAGTGGAGACTCAGTGGGAGAATCAAAAGACTCCCCTGGGGTCTTTTGGTGGACAGGTGGGTGGACAGGTGGGTCGTCAGCTGCAGCACAGGGTGCAGGACAGGAGGGGACGAGCACAAGGACACTTGCGCTGGAGTTCTCACATCTCCTGATAATGGCGAGAGAGAGCAATAGGCAAGCATGTCCATTCTCATTCTAAATTTATGCTTACAATCAAACCATTCCTGATTTACAGAGAAAGCAAAACTTTATGGTTAGTGTATGTGGATTGGGTTAAAACAGACTACTTACATGAACAGACCATATACATGCCATGAAATCTGATATTAGATTTAACTCTGTTGTCCCCCATACATCCACGAAAGACCATGTTTCTAAATAATGCTTAAGACATAAATATGAAATAACAAAGGTCAACAGATAAAAAACATAGAGCATGATTTCAATTTTGTAAGAGAAAAACATATATATGTACAGAAAAATGACCAAAGAAAGAAATAAGCTAAAAAGCAAATGGTGGTTTCTCTGGGTGATGGGATTATGGATAAGATTTTAATTTTTCTCTGTAACTTCCAAATATTAGAAGTTCCTCTTATTTTACAATAAGAAAAAAAGTGATATACTTCAGTAAAATAAAAAATAAAAGATTCTAAATTAAGGCATAGAATCCAAGTACAACGATGAACTTTTAATCTATTATCTGTTACAGATAGTAAGAGGCCACAGGAAATAGGATTTGTGTTCTGAAAAATAAAAGAAATGAAGATCTATCTAAACAACATAAATACAAAAGCAGAATACTAAATGATCTCAGCAATCATTGATTTTATACCCAACATGGAACAAGTGAATCTCAGATGCTAGAATGAACAGCAAACATTCAACTGAGGGATCAAAAAAAACTCATTTTTCCACCTGTACCTACTGAAATAAGAATATATATGGAGCATTATAAAATAAAGTATATGTTTAACATGAATAAATAATCACAATTAAATTACTTGGTGGGGGAGCACCCTGGGGGCTATCTGTAATATTCAAGTACCCCTCCTCACCCGAAGACCTGTGAGCAAATCTGAATCATCATTATTATTTTCTATGGACAAAAATGGACATAGAGATTCACACCTGAGGTGAATGTTCAGTTACATCTCCAATAATTCTCGAGTACTGAACAGATAACAACTTGTACAGAAAAACTGCCTAGAACTTGTCTTCTAGCATAGCCAACCAATGACTGAGAGCCCTTCCGGGGTGGGCATATTTCTGGGCGCGGTAAGTACCAAATATGAAATATCTTCTGTGTGCAGAGTCTGTGCTAGACACTGAGGTTATAGAGAGAAAAATTAAGAAAAAAGGACACAGATATAACGTAAGGTATAGGTTGTTGCTGTTTTTGAAACATTCTTGAGTCATATAAGAATTCTCTGTTCAAATTCTGAAATGGTGATGGAAAACTCTGAGGCTTCTGACCAGTGGGAGACCCCGACCTTACACAAGCAGAGTTGGGAAATTAAAGCCGAAGTACTAACTGACTAGTGAGACTCTGTTATTCCGAGAGTCCCTTTTGCAACAAATGTGACTTAGCGACCATATCATTCGCACCTGCAAGGAATATTTTTATTTAAATGCTTACAAATTCTTAAACTTCTCCTGAAATTAGAATACATAAGATTAGTAAACTGAAGAAATAACTAACTCATTGGCTCATCAATCTTAGAAAAGTTTTCCAGAAAAAATACTGAAGTTCCGTCTTAGGCACATCAATTACCACCTACTAATTATTTTTAGCTATCACGTGGCAAAAGAAATTCAACATTCTAAGCTAAAGAGGGAGAGAAAGGAGTAAACGATTATTAAAAATGTAAGTCATTGGCAGTTACTAAGCCCAAATATAGCATCAGTGTTAAAAACACTACATCTAGGTTAATGGAACAATAAATGAGTTAGAGCGATGGAAAATCATACAAAGTAACCCAACGTACAATGAAACCACTTTCAAGTATTATTTCAAAGTCAAAAAAATACATATCATTAATTTTTAAGGCAAGTTTTTGCAACATATCATGGGCCATATAAACACCAAAGACACTGGTGCATGTCCAACATATAATAAAACCAATTTACTACACAGAGGCTTTCTACAACACACGCACACACACCTAGTGTCTGGGGACAGGGATCCCTCGGAAGACGCTCCGTGGTACACACTCTGAGACAGCCTGTTGTCGGGTCTAAGCTCTTTGTCATATGCCATCATACTCCACTCCTGGCGCCTGTTTCTGGCCTTCCTAACCTTTTTCACCTCCCGGGTTGTGCCATCTATACGCTTTTGCTCCTGATGTGCAGGAAGAGAAAGTAAGCATGCCAAGACAGAAGGGAAAGGAAAAGAGCAGGTTAAATGCAGTTGTAATGAACGGGAAACAAGCCCGGCACGCAGACAAGAGATATTCCCATTTCAGATCACACGAACGTTCTGAAAAATTCGAACACAGTATACATTCTCTTACCTGACATAGACCCAGCAGCAGTAACTGACACGTAACCATTTAACCTCAATAAACAGAAGCTACTCTGCAGCAGCTAACTCCAGGAACCGCTTACCATCATTTCTGGTAAAGAATTCGCATCTTACTAGGCTTTTAGCTTGTTTTAATGTACTAGATCTTTTAGATCTGCATGATAGAGATAACTGAGATACAGACAAATCACGTCTACCACTATACACTTTTGACTGAATGGTTATCATGCAATCATCTTTCACAAAATAACTCAAAATACTCTATTGCCAGTTTCTAATAAGATTATTACAGAATATTTAAGCTAATCCTGCAACTAGTTTAACATGGAACAAAAACATGCTAAGAACTTACCTTACCATACCGAGAATCAGTCTGCTCCAGCCCTACTTTGCCAGCAAAAATGTATCCAGTAAAAACTTGGGTCCTACACAGGTGTTTCTTCAAAGGTGAGGACAGTTATTGCTATATGTGTATGTGTTTTTCATAATTCCCAAGTAAGAGGTCACGGTCTTTAAAGATGAGAATTACCTGCTCTTAACTCCTAGACTCCTGTTAAAGACTCCCCGCACACGGATTTACAGAAGACACACGAGCGCTAAGTGATCAGACCCAGGTGAGCTTACGCACCGGGTCAGGCGCTGAGGATACAAACAGCAGACAAAAAGACAAGGAATCTGCCTCCGTGGAGCTTGCGGTCCAGTGCGAGAGGCCCAGAAAAGGACACAAACAATGTCCAGGTATAAAATATGGTAAAACATAAATGCGTCATATACTGAATGGCGCCTCATCTGGAAGTCAGGGAGTGGCCGAGACTAGCCCCGACATGTGAGCAGGTATCATTCTGCAGCGAGCAGGGCAGGTGCATGGGCAGAGCGGATAGAATGTGAGCCAGCTCTGAGGACAGCAGCACATCAGGAGGAATGAAAGACGGTAAATGGGCAATTAGGGGGAATGGCTCCTGAGATCTCAAAGGTAAGCCAGACCTTACAGGGCGGGTCAGAGGTGTTGTTCTTTATCCCAAAGGCAATGGGAAACTATCAAAGGTGAGAAGGGAGGGGCTGTCACACTGCGGAAGCAATCTGAGAAGATCCCTCAAGGTTGTGGAGAACAGATTAGAAGGGGGAAGGCAGGTCCTGTGAAAGGGTAGCTGATGGTTCACGGTGGGTACCTGGACGAAGCTGGTAGATGATGCGAACATGGAATTCACAGAACATGTATACACAGTTAATAAAGATATGAAAAGGTATGTAGTGCAAATGAGATTTTCATGGGGGAGGGATGATATCCTTCAAAATAATAATGATATGCAGGTCTGGAAGAGGTCTGTTAAGAGCGTAAACTGGTTCAGTCTTTTAATGGTCAAGGGGCAATTTGATGGTATCTTTCAAAATTCAAAGCTCATTATTTGTCTTCTAGAAGTTTGCCCAGAAGACTTATCTGCACATGGATCAGGCAATACCATAGTCCTGTTAAGCAACTCTTCACAAGCAACCAAAGTATGACCTAACACAGTAAAGAGCAAACAGTTAATGTAGCATGCACACCTTTGAGTACTACACAACTATTAAAAAGAACACAGGACATCTTTAATTATGTCAATGTATGTATATGTCTGCATGTGCTTGTGTAGACATCGGGTGTGGTACCATTCTATGCATATACAAGTGCTTTGTGAAGTGTATGCATATATTTATGAATGCTTTTTAAAACGTCTAAAAATGTACACACTGAGTCACTCCTAATGATTGGTGACACCTGGGAAAGGAAAATCTTATCCTCAAATTTTCTACACTAATGTATTCACTTCAGTGTAACATGAGCGTTTTACAACCAGCACGCATTGCCCGTATACTTGTAGAAACCAAAAGGAGGGAGAGTTCAATGGATTTCAACATACCTCCTGATTAAGAACCATTGTAGTCATCAGTAACTGTCACCCTTACTTTTAAAAGACGTATGTGTTTAGATGCATTTAGATCAAGTGTTTAGATCAAGTGTTATGATCATCTGTGACTTTCCTTACAGTGGTTTAGCCTCCAAATCCACTCATCAACGTGCACACAAGACACACACACACACACACACACACGTATGTACAAACCGATTATGACCAAGTGTTCACAGTCGAGTGTTTGTATTCCAACTACACTGGCTTCTGTTAAAGTCCCTGGAATGTATCCAACCATCTCCTAGCCGGGACGATCCTAGCTGCCTCTACCTCTAATGCTCCTCAATTCGGAAGCTCCCTGCACCTCCTCTGCCCCCACTCCTCCAGCATCCCGGCTCACGAGCATGCACGCATACAAACATGCGCATGCATACGTGCACACATATGCACTGATGTGGACTCTCCTTAGCGGACTTCTAACTCCCCACTGCTGGAGCTCAGTGAATGACACCACCTCATATGCAATGTCACCCCCCCACCCACCTTGTCACTTCACCCACTGCACACTGTACTTTCCCTTCACAACATTTACTAGGCACTGGAACTACACACTTACAACTACATATTTACTTGCATCATTTAAAAAATGTTTTTAAACCAGCAAACTCAGGAAACGAAGTTCAGAAACAATGGATTTCTCATCCCCAAATCCTCTAAACTAATTTTTCCTTCAGAGAGAATTTTCAGCTCCAAACTGAAAGTAACCTGTGTTTTGGAAATCCTGGGAAACAAAGGATTAACTGGTCTCATTTTCTATTCCTACGTAATAGAAGATTTCGTGCTAGAATTTTCAAAATACTTTCCCTCTTTATGACTTCCAGTGGGCTGCATGATTACTTAATGTTTGTTTCCCCCACTACATTGTAATCTCTGTGAGGGTGATAATCCTTCCTCACCACTGTTTATCCAGCATTTAGAAGGCATTCAAGAAACATTATTATATAAATGAATAAGAAATTCTTATCAGAATTTTATGTGTTGGAGGAATGTGTAATGAGACAAAACAGTCAAGGAAATGGTGTAATTTTGAAGACATGATAATCATCCATACACTAAGACTGTTTTCCCCTGAAGAACACTGCTAAAAAACTTAGATATTTTTGCCAAAAGTATCACTGAGAAAGGAAACCTAGAAGACCACTTAAAAGGACAGGCATGTTTTAAAGGAAAATACCCTTAAATCCCTGTTAGTACAAAAAGGTGTAGGGACCAATGGGCCTTGAGATAATCTGTTTCTTTTCCAGTCAAGAGACCAGGATCAGTTTTTCCTTCACTTAAATACTTAATACTTTCTTCACTTGGACACTTTCCAACTTCAACTCTCAGCAGCCCTTCCAAGATTTCTCCATTCATCTCCCCACCCACAGCACAAGGAGAGAGCACGAATAACCAACCTTTAGAATTCTTTCTTGGACTTCAGTGGGAACACCTTACCCTTGTAGTCTGTAAACTGCTTCCATGTTCCCTTTCTTAAATCCCATTTTCAAATCTTAAATTTTCTTCCATCCCAAACTGTGGCTTCTATGGTTCCAGTACATCTAGAAGCCTCCAAACATTAAGGCCACTAACCCACAACTTGCTAAGACTTTGTCTTAAAGAAAGCACTCTAAGATTTGTCAAGCAAACCAGGTGCTCGTTTTTTAAAAACACAGTTTACATATAAAAGTCTTGACAAATATTTGCCTTTGGAGAATTAACTCTCAGGAGGTTAAGTCGAATTTCTGGGCCCTAAAGGGGCAGTTCTTGGCAAAGCATGATTATTCTTCCAAGAGTGCTCATGATGTAGTGATTATGTGGTCATAATGTGGTCAGCAACCTTCAGATTTACAAGTTGACTGCCTATTACACCTCACCAAAAGGAACCTCATTGTTTGGTAAATACTATGCCCTAAATGTACAGATCACACATGCCTTTTGATCCAATATGAACATCTCATCAAGGTGTTAATTAAAGCTAGGTGGCAATGCACCAGTTGGGAATGCTTTACAGAGATGAGAGCAAGTCATTATATCTGATATGAAATGTTGACTGCTTTGTGAAATTTAAAGAGCAGGAGAAAAGTTATAAAACATGGTTACATACAAAAGTTCTAGTCACTACTTCTATTAAAGCAAAGCAAGTTTAGGGAACAAATCAGAAAGTATTTACTGAAAAATAGTATTACTGTGTTAGACTGAATTGTCAGTATCATTATGTAAAAATGCAACCTCTACTTCTGCACTAAATTCAACATACCAACCATTTGCATAAAGGACTTACTGACTTATTTCTAAACCAGGATCTCATTTCAACGTCGATTTGTGAGTTCCCACACTAGAATTATTTACCTTCTGACGCCTCTTCTCCTTTCTTTTGTCTTCTGTGTCCTGCAGCATTTTTTCTTTCCAAAGGTCAAAGAAATAGGAAGGATCAGTGTAGAACTTCAGCCCATCCTTTTTATCATCTCTGTAAATCAATGTATCACAAGTTGAGGGGTGGGGGGAAGAGGCTGTTAGACATTTTCATGTGGGGTGAATATTCACTTAATTTAACTCATGAGATGATAACATCTGCATGAGGCATTTTGACTGTCCTACACATTCTCTCTGATCTCCTCATTTGAAGAAAAAAAAAAAGGTGAACATGAAAGACTGGCAACTTTTTCTAGAATAATCACGTAAAAAGTACTGTGGCTAATTTAGACTTAAGTATAAAAGTGCCTCAAAATCACAATATGGCTCGTAAACAATGATATCTGATACCTCAATTATGTCAGGAAATGTTTTGTTTATTCTAAGAGGGGCTATCTACAGAGATGAATGGGTTCTTGGTGTGTACAGATACTCACCTCTACTCTGGAGCTTCAATATTATTAGGATAAAAATTAGTAAGTATGCTGTCCCTTTTTCTTTTTATTAGTAAGTACGCTGGCCCAACATCTACTCAATTCGGAAAGAAGCAAAAATTAGTTCCCAGCGTATTAAGTGTGATGGGAGTGGAAGTAACTCACAAAGAGAATTCAATTATGGCATTGCACTTTCAAGTCCTGCTACAACCACTGTGGTCTAAAGACTATTTCAAGGATTTATATAATTATTCATCTATCATAAAACCAATGCAATTCCCAAGTTGTAATATAAATCGAAAGTAAAGCTCAAAACAATCATAACATGAACTAAATGCTCTCTAAGACTAATGCTTTAAAAAAGGATCTAGCCTGTAGACTACCTTCAGGAGGAAGCAGAGCATTTACATTTCAAATCAGGGTTTCAGTAAGTCATTTAAGGCCCAGAGAAAAGCAAAATGAGATGAGACACAGTGAGATGAGTATAAGAAAGAGTTTATGCCCGAACAGTAAATGCAAACTAACTGAATGAGCCCAGGGGGGCATCCTGCCTGCCCTTCCCTGATGCTCCTGCTATGCCATGTTCTGGGAGCTTCTCATCATCACAAACTATGGCCCAGGTTCCTCTGGGGGCTACTCTGGCCCAATCGACGGTCTGAAAATCACTAACCATGCAAGTTGCTTTATACTTTCATCTATGATGACTTGAAATCCTTCTTTTCCTTTCCAAATTTCCTAACTGATAGGAGACCTCCATTACAGTGATTTTATTAACAACATTACTGTGAAAAATAGAGTCGCCCAAAGAAGCCAGGCCTTCAAATGGAATGAAGATAGAGAAAAACTCAACAGTAATTTGTTACAAAATTTAAGACATATAAAATGCATATTTTTTTTTTTTTTAAAAAAAGGGGAGCTAATACTTTAATGAAGGCAGTAGCTCATGTCAGTGAGCAAATATTAATCTCAACATAAGAATATAAGCCGGAATGCCCGGTGTTGATAGCAACCAAATACTTCATTTTCAAGTCATGTTCTCGTGTTCATATTAACACTGTCCTTAGTGTTTTATATACCTCAAATATTTATTGTCAAAAAGTACATTTGAGGGGCGCCTGGGTGGCTCAGTGGGTTAAAGCCTCTGCCTTCAGCTCAGGTCATGATCTCAGGGTCCTGGGATCGAGCCCCGCATCGGGCTCTCTGCTCAGCAGGAGGCCTGCTTCCTCCTCTCTCTCTGTCTGCCTCTCTGTCTACTTGTGATTTCTGTCTGTCAAATAAAAAATAAATAAAATCTTTAAAAAAAAAAAAAAAAAAAAAAAAGTACATTTGAATTTTTAGCACTGTTACTCTTAAACACATTATTAAAGAGTTAGACATTTTTATTTTCTGTAAAACTGAATATACACATACAATATCTATGAAAGTTACTTCGTTTTTTTACAAAATTAAAATTTTTCTATCACCACAAGTAGCTAATCATGATCTCAATTCATCAAAGATAAATGGCCCACTGAGTTTTCTCAGCTTTTTCCTTTGGAACAGGATTATTTAGTGAGGTGTCTTAGGACAGTTTTAACAGGCCTGCCCTTGTGGCTTCTAGTGCTAAATAAATCTGAAACTGCCCCCCAAAATATGCCTATTGAATGAAAGTGAAATTGTAAGGTAAAACATCAGACTTACAATACTACTATTCATATAGATTATTAATTTTTAGATGAGTGTGCTAAAACTTCCAGAAAAGCATACTTGTTCCACAGGAAACTGTGGCCCATTGGCCCTTTTCCATTATAGTTTCCATGGGATTTCTATTGATTTTTTTTTTTTTGGAGAGAATCTTTCTGTCCGTGCTTAAGAAAAGAACATAACTGGAACTGCTGCTTTATTAGCAGAGCTGCAATAGAGGTAGGTCCAAACATCTCCTTTGGACCCTGAGAAGGAACAGGAATTCAGACCAAAAATACTCTGAGCACTCCTTGAGAAGGACCAAAGGCCCAAGATGGCGGCACCAGAAAGAGAGAACCCATTCAGTGGTAAAGGGAGTCTGTTACCCAGTGAAGCTAGTCCTGGGGGCCGTCAGGACACCCTCTACCACACAGCCTGTGCTCATCAGAGGCTGAGGGAATGAGCTTACCTGGAGGGCAAAGGCAGGAGAAGAACAAGCTGTACGATGAAGGACAATGAGAAGGCATATGGAAAAGGGAGATGGGAAAGAAGGTGACAAAATATGGAAAGAAAACACTAACATGGTAAGAGGTAGGAGAGGTGTTTTTAACAAGTATTTTCAATTGCTTAATATTAACTTTTTGCACCACCGATTTTCCATTCTTTTTCTGGAAAGTCTGGTCCTGATACCGAGTCCTACCATTTTACAGTAACAGGTTAATTTGTTGACTGTATTATTCACTCTTTAAGAATCCCTAGCTGCAGCATGCATTTTTCTGAATTAAATGACAAAAGTCTCTGCAGGGCTGAAATGCTGACACAGGTATTTCGCTGCATGATAAATGAATTACGCAGTTCCTTTAAAACTGACTTTGAATATGAGGAACAACATAACCACACACATTATACAATGTGTAATTTTATAATTACTTGGACTGTGGAACTTTTGAAAGCCTTTTTCATGTTGATATCCTGTAGTGACACTATTTAGAAAAAAGTCCCCCAGGTTGAGTTATATAGAAATATTTTAACTGTTCAGCAATGAGTGTCATTTGAGACACAATCATAAGTAGAATTTCTGATTCTAAAGTAACAAAATTCTACTTCAGATATCTACACTCAGGTATCTACAAAAGTAGCTATCTACTATAGCTATCTACCAAAGCTAACATTAGAGCTCACACTTCTCTCGGTGAGTTAATCTCTATTTTGAAATTCGAAACCTTTAACAATTCTGTACTAGGAACTGATTTCGTTGTATATAATACCTGCAATTACTTTCAAAGCTTGAAAAAAAATACGTCCACCGCACTATTCTCCTCTCTCAGCTTATCTAGACTAAAAAGGCACTGGGAATGCATGAAGCCATACCTGTACGGTGTAAGGATATTCAGGGGAGGTGGCTTATCGCTCTGGTTGTAGATATCAGCAACAGGATTAGGAAGGCTGTTCTTTGAAACCACCTGCTGGTCTTGGACTGTGGAACTTTTGAAAGCCTTTTTCATGTTGATATCCTGTAGTGACACTAGTTAGAAAAAAGTCCCCCAGGTTGAGTTATATAGAAATATTTTAACTGTTCACCAATGAGTATCATTTGAGACACAGTCATAAGTAGAATTTATGATTCTAGAATAACAACATCATGTTTATACTGTTCATTTAAAACTACGCTTAAATAGCATGTATATTCCTTCCCTCTTATAAAGAAAGCGGTCTCTATAAAACAAAGACGAATCACGTCTTTTCTTCTTCTGTAGTGATCTAATTATTTCTTTGAACCTAATATTAGAACATCATTCTTTATAATAGCGTTTTTCAGAAACCACACAGGAATATAGTTGAGCATAACAGGTATGTAAATACAAAGGTTTGGGTATCCTGGAGGAAAAAAATATTCAGTTAATACCGGTTGAATATAATACATGTAGGAAATATGTCTGCAAAAAATATATACAAATGTAAAAAACACATGGACGTTTTCCTGACACTGACATTAAGGAAAGATGGCAAGGTTTTTCAAAATACCTAGAAAAGTCCTAGAAATTAAGGAGCAGCATTTAAACTACACTCAGAGGTAAGAAAATCAGGGCTGATAATACTTACTTCTTGTGTCTGCACAACACTTTACATCTCATGTATTAACTCATCTAACCTTGACAGACACTTTTGAATTGGGCAACGTGGTCCATTAACCCACCTGACCAACAGAGCTGAGAGTTGGGTGTTAAGTAACTCTTCCAAGATCACCCAGCAAAAAAGGGCAAACTCAAAATAGAACACAGATTTCCTAACTTGGTCACATGTTTTTTTCTAATATAAAATCTATGCCAAATAGTAATCAGGTAAATCTTGATTGGATAGAATTTTAAGGATATGAGATACAGTGTAAAATCTTATGAACTCTAGTGTACAGATTAACCTTTTCGAGCACAAGGTTTATCACTGGTATTCCAATTACAAGATCCCACAAAGAAACTGAAGGAAGATGAGTAAATACTAAAAATTATTTGTGATACCAAGGCGAAAAATGAGTGACTGGCTTAAGATGCTAAAATTTCTTATCTGAATAGGCCAAATAACCAGCCAAGGTTTTACTTTTTCAAATAAAATAAACCTTAAAAATCAGATTAAAGAATGTTCATAAGGGATATTAAAATTTCAATGCTTTACATTTTTGTCCAATTTCTAATTCACAAATTTAATATTGACCTTTGAAAAAGACCTGAACATGAGTAAATATATTTTTTTAAATGATGAGGGATGAATTCCCTAAAACACTACATTAAAAAAAAAAAAAACCTTCCAGTTTTTTCATTAATACAACTATTGTAAGTCTAGTAGAAAAATCAAATACTAAGATCATTTTACTGCAACAAGAGAAATCAAAACTACCACTACATAAGGGTAAAAATAATTGTTAATCTGAACATTTTTCTCAAGGAAATATGAAATGTTGTATCTTGTACTTTATTTTTGCATATTTTTTTTTCCAGTGTAATCTCAGTCTCTCATCCAAAAGATACAGAAAGGGAAATCTTTAAAAAGGAATTGCTGAATTTTCATTTTATTGAAACTGTCACAATTTCAGGGTCTATCCTCAAAATTATTATCAGTTACCTACACAGTGCTTACCAATATTAACTTCATTTTACAACCATGATGCCTAAAGCCATCAGTAAATGCTATTTATTGAGACGGGAAATCGCAGATCACCATGATTATTTACAGGCATCAATCCCAACAAGGGTAGCAGGCGGATGCCTTCATGCCTTCCCTCAGTCACGCTGTGTAAGTACCACCCTCCCTCATAGCTGGACCACATTTTTGGAGTGACTCTGTGATTTTTAGGTAAGAAAGTATCTTTAAAAGAACCACCAATGACATAAACTAGGGTTTCTAATAGCAAAAATATTCAAAGAACCCTTTAAAATAAATACTATACGGGTATATTTTTTAAAAAAGAGTATTGAAGGCATCTATGAGGTAGACAAGATAAGACTCTTTAATTACTATCTTACCCAATATTGTGGCCCCCACCCCACAATATTCTTCTAGAAAGGACAAGATGAAATATCAGCACACTACCCCAAGGAAAAAGCAGTGATTACACCGCAATTAATGACTATCGTCTTGTCAACATCACTTCTAGCTCATTGCTTTCATGCAATTACTTACCCTCTTCCACTGTTGAATCCAGCTGGGTAACTTTGACAGCAAGACGATCAATTCTGTCTTGAAGAGAATTTGCTCTGATGTAGAAGTTGTTAGCCTCATTAAACAGCTCACCAAATATGTCTTCAGCATGTTTGCCTAGAGAAGAAAATGAATGGAGAAGGCCATCTGTTAAGAAGTGCTGAAGCAGCCTTCACACGTTCTTGCTAATGCCGATTACTGTCAACATGTGGGATTTTGTGCAAATGATTATAAAAATAAAGTGTCACAGTCAAGGGCCTTTAGAACTTTTGAAAATGTATTGTGGATATAATCATCTATCTGAAATTGACCCAAAGTTGTATGGTTTTAGAATACCCAGAAGAGTACAGAACTTTCATTTAATTGCTACGTGAGCTATCACCAAGTTGTTTCCCATTAAACTTCTTTGGGAAAAAAATGACTCTCATTTTGCATACTTCACAAATAAATAGAATCTTGGGACCTTAACCTTCCTTTTACTTCCCAAGATAAATAAATCATGTTGGTTTCTAAATTTGAGATTTTGCTTCATTCGCCCTCAGAAACGTTAGATATCTTACGTTGTGCCTAACACTCTCCAATGGCAAGAAACTGTTCTAATCTGTATTTTGAAATCTAAGGATACAGTGCTGACTCTCGCACTCTCTAAAATCAGTTATTTTGTATTTGGAGTTAAATTTTCTGTATGGATTCTTGTAAATGCCAGACATAACTACTCCCACTTTTATTAAAATGTAATAAAAAAAATTTCTGAAAACGTAGGAGTTAAGTACCTGCTTGGATTTCCAAATCCTAACATCATTCCTTTATTCATTCAACAAACATTTAATAACTGTCTATCCTGAGTGTGCACGGCATACTTCCTCTGCCAGAAAGAACCACTTTTTAAAAAATAGACCTTAATTTTAAGAACACTTTCTAGTTCACAGCAAAACTGAGCAGAAAGCACAGAAAATTCCCATATACTTCCTACCCCCCCGGTACCCTCCCCCACTATCAACCTCACACATTTGTTATATGCATTTGTTATAACTGATAAACCCACACTGACATGTTATTACATCCAAAGTTCAGTTTCCATTAGGGTTCACTCTTGATGTTAAATGTTCTACGGATTTGGACCTATGTATAAAGACATGTATCCACCATTACAGGATCATACAAAATAGTTTCACTGATAAAAATTCTTTATGTTCCACATTATTTATCACCCCCAACTCCCTGCCACCCACTGATTTTTTAAATGTCTCCATAGTTTTGTCTTTCCTAGAATGTCATACAGTAGAAATCATAATTAATTATAATTAACCACATTCACTTAGTAACATGCATTTCAGGCTCCTTCACGTTTTTTCATGGCAAGACAGCTTGCTTCTTTTTAGTGTTGAATAACGTCGCACTGTCTGGATGGACCAGTTTGATTACCCATTCACCTACTGAAGGACATTGTGGTTGCTTCCAGTGTTTGGTGGTGATGAATAAACATCTGTGTGCAGGTTTTTAGGTGGACATGAGTTTTCAACTCACTTGGGTAAACACCAAGGGGCAAGGCTGCCAGATTATATAGTAAGAGTATGTTAATTTTTTTTCTTTTAAGATTTTATTTATTTGACACAGAGAGAGAGATTGAAAGCAGGCAGAGAAGCAGGCAGAGAGAGAGGGAGAAGCAGCCCCCTGCTGAGCAGAGAGCCCGATGTGGGGCTCCATCCCAGGACCCTGGGATCATGACCTGAGCTGAAGGCAGAGGCTTAACCCACTGAGCCACCCAGGTGCCCCAAGTATGTTAATTTTTATAAGAAACAAATTGTCTTCCAAAGTGGCATTTTGCATTCCCACCAGCAACATATGAGAGTTCCTGTTGCTCCACACATTCATCAGCATTTGGTGTTGTCGGTTTTCTGGATTTTAGCCGTTCTGAAAGGTGTGAGGTGGTTATCTCATTTTAATTTGCATTTCCCTGATGACAGATGAGGTTAAATGTGTTTTCATGTGCTCTGTGCCTGCCATCTGTACATCTTCTTTGGTGAGAGGTCTGTTCAGGTCTTTTGCCCGTTTTTAAATCAGGTTGTCAGTTTTCTTAGTAATGAACTTTAAGCAGTCTTAGTATATTATAGGTAACAGCTTTTATCAGATTATGTCTTCTGCAAATATCTTCTCCCATTCTGTGGCCTGTCTTATTCTCTTGACAGTATCTTTCACAGAGCCCAAGTTTTTAATTTTAATGAGGCCTAGCTTATCAATTTTTTCTTTCATTGTGGTGCCTTTCTTTGGTGTATCTAAAAAGTCACCACCACTCCCAAGGTCAGCTAGATTTTGTCCCATGTTACCTTCCAGGAGTTTTATAGTTTTATATTTAGGACTATGCTCCATTTTTAGTTAATTTTTGGGAAGGGTTTAAGGTCTGTGTGTAAACCTACCATTTATTTGCATTTCTACCAGTTTATCACCCAAATGAGAAGAGAACCTAAATCTTCTGGAAAGAATACTTAAAGCAAGAATCACCATGACATTTTCACAGTGCTTTATAATTTATATGGTGCTCTGATATCCACTTTCCAGACTGCTGTAATTTACAACATGGCAAACTGTGAGAGTAAAAACCATGCCCTGTTTAGTGTTACAGTCCAGCCCTAGAACAATGCCTCCTGACAAACGCCTGTTCGATGAATGCACCAGCTCATGAGGTCAACAGTGAGTTACTGCGTTCACTTTCCAGGTGACTAACCTGACCATCGAAAGGTGATCTGTCCAAATCTCATGGCTAGTCTGTGGCAGTAAGAGATGAAACAAAACTCTGGTCTTCTAACTTCTAATCCCTTGCTTTTATTATCATATACTTCCCTGAACTTCCTTGTCTAGAAATTAGCAACTTCCCTGAATTATTTCATTGTTAACTACCTGTTTAATTAATGAAATGGACTGAAATATTGCTTCTTAAATGGCCACTCCAAGACAATGGATGAGCATTTCTTCTGAATCTAAAAGCAATATAATTTCATAAATTCTCATGGTATAACTGTTTGTTGTTTTTTTTTTTTAAGATTTTATGTATTTACTTGACAGAGATCACAAGTAGGCAGAGAGGCAGGCAGAGAGAGAGGAGGAAGCAGGCTACCTGCTGGGCAGAGAGCCTGATACGGGGCTCGATCCCAGGACCCTGAGATCATGACCTGAGCCGAAGGCAGAGGCTTTAACCCACTGAGCCACCCAGGCACCCCTCATGGTATAACTGTCTTAACAAGAGGAGCTTTCTCTTAAAAAATGAAAGCAATAAAGAAATCAATAAAAACATCTTGTATCTAAAAAGTCATCCCTCCTGCCAAAACTGGAAGGGGGATCCCCAAGACTACTGATTTCAGCAGAGCAGTAAATTGTTTCTCTGTAAGTCTGGTATCTATTGTATGGTCCTCTGGAGTCACTTAAAATTCTGCCAACAGTTTCCACTCCCACAAAAGATAAAGCAGTTTCCAAAAAGGCAAAGGAATAAAATAAAGTCTTCACACAAATCATATGTTTTTCCAACTCTGCTAACTAGATGTGGTATCCAGAATTAATGTTTGTTCACTGGCTTATAAACTTTTTCCCCAGTGTTGGGCTTGTGTTTCTAATTAGCTCATGAACATCTCCATGTTGATATCCTATAAGAATCTCAAATAGGAATTCCAATAGGAATTCATTTTCACGTTAACTCAACCCTGCATCCCTGTGTGGAAAGGCATCAACCAACCTGAAATGAAGCCCAAGCAGAAATGGAGTCATCATCGGTGGCTGCTGCCTCCCCCTAAAGCTCATGGAACACCAATGGCACCTGTCTCTCCCCAGCACCTCTGAGCTCACACCCTCCCTGTTTCCCTCCTGCATGACATAGATCAACAGCTTTGGCTTTTTTTGCTTTCAGGTTCACCTCCCACCCTCAAATCTGTTCATCACACTGCTACCAAATGATCTTTCTTAAAGGAAGACCTGACCCTCCCTCCTACTCAAATTCTTTATTGCTCCCTATCATTCTCAAGCTCAAATCTAGGCCTCTCAGAAGGACGCAGAAGGCCCTGTGCACCTCACTTCTGCCCAGTCAGAAGTTTGTGCCCATCGTTTGTGCTCCAGTCAAAATGAACTATTTGCAATGTCTAAACCCATTTCCCCTTTCCCACAGATTCTGCTCCTGGTACTGCACTTTCAAAAATCCCTTCCATGCCTTGTCACCTCACTCAGAATAGAAGCCGAAGGCCATAGGAGGCTTATAAAGTGATTTAACTTCCTTTACCCTGCTGGCCTCAGCAACTATCACCCTCTCCCTTGCATATTCCATTCCGCCTACACTGTCTCCTTGTTCCTTCTCAGACATGCCAATCATTCTCGCTTCCGGTCGGGCGTATTCCTGCTCCTTCTCCTTGGACTGTTTTGTCCCAGAGACTCACAGGGTTTGGTCCCTCACTTTATCCAGATCTATACCCAAATGGGACCTTCTAAGTGAGACACCGCTAGCAACCTTAGCTAAAAGTGCCATCACCTCACCACACACATGCACACACACTGTCCCCCATCCCCACCCACCCACTTATTTTTCTCCTTAGCACTTATCACCATGCTGTAATTGTACACTTTACTTATTCATCTTGTCTCGTCTCCTTTCTTGAGACTGTATGATCTAAGAGGACAAGGGCTCTCTTCGGTTCTGTGCACTGCTTTATCAATCCCCAAGGTCTAGGACATGCCTGGCTAATAGTAGGTGCTCAAAAAGATTGTGGAATCAATGAATAAAAATGCATTAACTTAAAATCAATCCTTCAGGATGCAGGTAGGGGTCTATAAGATCAGATGCCTCTCTCTGTGTCCCCACAGTACCCTAAGTATACCTCAGTCACAGGACTCTTCACATAACTGAATGCTATCTTTGTGTAAGTTCTCTGAGAGTATAAGTGATGTCTTTTATCTCTGTATTGCCTGTGCTGGGTTAGTGTTCAGAGAGTACCACCTGAATAAAAAACATATGATCTCTTTTCAGTGCTTTCTTGTTAACAAGTACACAACCAACAAATCCTCCCGGCCCAAGTAAGTTTGGAAAACACTGGGCTGTAAAGATTAAACATGCTTCTATGCCTTGGGGTATCTCAAAT